TTTGACAAAAATGCAAAGGCAATTCAATGGAGAAAGGATAGTTGTTTTTTTATTTCCTCCATAACTGGTATTGTAATAGTTGGGTATCCATATGTACAAAAGTGATCCTTACCCTAAGCTTCATACCTTACACAAAAATTCAATAAAAATGGAGCATAGATCTAAATGTAAAACATAAAACTATAAAACCTCTAGAACTCAAAGGAGGAAACTTTAGTGATTTGGGGCTAGGCAAAGAATTCTTCGATATGACACCAAAAGCATTATCTATAAAATAAAAATTTGATAAATCAGACTTCATCAAAATGAAAAATTCTTGCTGAGTGAAAGACACTACTAAGACAAGATACTAGACTGGGAGAAAATATTTGCAAATCACATATCTGGTGAAGGGTTTGTAATATATGTATATATATATATGTCTCAAAACTCAATAATAAACAAACAACTTGATTAAAAAATGGGCAAAAGACGTCTCATCAAAGAGAATATATAGATGGCAAGCAAGCACATGAAAAGATGTTTGACATCCTAGCCACTATGGAACTGCAAATTAAAACCACATTGAGATACTATTACCTACCTATTAGAATGGCTAAAATAAAAAACACTGACAAAAAATAAGCGCTGGTGAAGATAGGGAGAAACTGAAACTCTCATACATTGCTGGTGTATGCAAATGGTACAGTCACTCTAGAAAACAGTTCGGCAGTTTGTTATAAAACACACACATCACACAACCCAGCATTCCCACTCCTAGGTATTTACCCTAGAGAAATGGAAACTTACGTTCACACAAAAACCTGTATTTGAGAGTTTATAGCCGCTGTAGTCATAATCACCCAAAACTGGAAACAGTCCAGTTGTCCTTCGATGGGCGAATGAATGTAGTACATCCACAGAATGAGATACCCCTCAGCAGTAAGAACTACTGATACATAGAACACTTTACGTGAGTCTTGAAGGCATTATGCTGAGCGAAAAAAACCAGTCTCACAAGGTCCCATATTATGTGATTCTATTTATATGACATTCTGGAAAGGGCAAAATTATAGTGAAAGAGAACAGATTAGTGGTTGCCAAGGGATAGGAGTGGGAAAAATACTTAAATACAAAGGGGCAGCATGAGGATTTTCTGGGGTGATGGAATTGCTCTGTAGCCGTGGGAACATGAATCTATACATGAGTTAAAATTCAAAGAACTGTAATCAAACAAAAGCTAATTTTATTCTATGTTAACAAATTTTTTAAAAAAGGAAAGAGAAAAGAAGTTAAAAGGGTAGCAGTACCCTGGCAGGCCAGCATGCTGGAGTCTCTAGGGATGGGAGAACAGAGTTGCAGAGGGATGTGAAATCACAGGTCCAGCCACCCTCCCCATCAGGAGGTCCCATTCCAGAGCCAAGCCTTGGAGGTACTAGGTTTTATTGTCATAAGGAAAACAATTTCCTTTCTGATTACCACTTCCCATTATCACCATCCATCTGGTCCAGCTTGGGGGCCCTGGGAAACCCAACATTATCTGATTTCACACATTAAAAATATCCATTAAAAAAATCATGGATATTTGTCTCCTCTATCTCAGCTTCCTCTCAGGGAATCTTCTCCTGCTGTTACAGCCACAATTTCCCATGTTAGAAAACAGGGTGGGGCTTCCCTGGTGGCGCAGTGGTTAAGAATCTGCCTGCCAATGCAGGGGACACAGTTTCAAGCCCTGGTCTGGGAAGGTCCCACATGCCGTGGAGCAACTAAGCCCGTGCGCCACAACTACTGAGCCTGCGCTCTAGAGCCCGTGAGCCTCAACTACTGAGCCCACGTACCACAACTACTGAAGCCCGTTGGCCTAGAGCCCATGCTCCACGACAAAAGAAGCCACTGCAGTGAGAAGACTGTGTACCGCAACAAAGAGTAGCCCCTGCTCGCTGCAACTAGAGAAAGCCCAGACACAGCAACGAAGACCCAACACAGCCAAAAAAAAAAAAAAAGAAAACAGGGTGATATTTTGATGCTTCCTTCCTCACCCGACCTCTGTAAGTCAATTAGAAGTCCCTTAATCTGTTCTGGATCTCCATTGCCATCTTCCCCAATTCAGGCCACAATCCCTGACTTCCCTGCTCTGGACCATGGTAACAGCCTCTCACTGCCCTTCCCACCACGGTCCTGCGGCTTCCATCCCTTCTCCACACTGTAGCCAGAATGCTCTTTCTGAAGCATCACTTCCTCATCTCCCTGCTTAGAGCCACACAGGTCCTGGGTGGGGAAGCACAACTTCTCTAGCCTGGCCCTGGGGGGGTCTGTCCCCTTCCAACCTCAGTTTCATTTCAGGCTCTCTAGCCAATGCCTTCTCCTGGGAGTCTGAGCCCCACCCATTCTCCTCTTGCACTGTTCCCTTTGCTTGGAATTACCTCCCACCCCCCTTACTTGGTTAGTTCCCACTCTTTTTTCAGTCCCACCTTGGATATTTTTTCCTCCTGGAAGTTTTCCTTGACTTCATCCTATAGCCCAGTAAGTGCCTGATATTAAGCTTATGATGGCCAAGGTATCCATTTCACAAGACGTCCATCTTGAATAAACATAGTGCCAGCTTATGACACAGCTACTAACACAACAACCAGATAAGGAATATAAGGAATTAAGTTGCCCCGCCCAGGAAGGGCTCTTTTTCAGAAAGCCCTGGGTAACGTAGATAATACACTGCTTGAAAGGCCCTGCTTATCCCTTCCCACATACTAATGCCTGCTCTTATGCTTTAAATTACCCATAAGGAGCCAACCCAGAAAACCCTAGATACTCCACATTTGGACCCTAATAAACAGAGCCCCAGGTCTGTACTCTCTCTCTCCCCACGACATCACTGTATGGCCCTCCAGCGTGCTGTGTACCTTCCAAGACCTGTGAGTGATACATCTTCAAAGTTCCCTGGTGGTTTTTACTGAAGTGAGTGTCCTGGGATGACAATTAGAACCACAAGGGCCAGTCCAGCCACAACACTAGCCCTGGTGGGGGAAGTGTCTATGGGGCTCGTTAGGAATAGTATGGGCCAGGTGAAGGCCTCAGGCATTCCTAGCTGAGAGCATCCCCATCTATAGGCTGGAATGGACAAAACAGTACATCTCTCTGGGGCCCCTGGGCCCTCTATACCTGCCTCCTTTACCTCATTTTTAGAGGGTATTGAAGTAGTCTGTTAACGTTTGAAGGTGCTTTGGGAGCAGAGTCTGGTCTGGTCTCCCATTCTTTCCACAGCACATGCCTGTTGCGGGCACTCAGCACCCGTTTGTTGACTGAACGAGTAACATCAGGTCTCTTTCTATGTTAATCCTGGGAAGAGGGGGATTTCACAGCATCAGGCGAGTCTCAGATGAACATCCATTGCATACACGCACATACATACACACGCCGTCTAGAATTTGCTGGTGACTGATGACTCAAGAGTCTACCAGGGAAGTGGGGAGAAGATACCCACGCCCCTTCCTCACTGCAAACCATCTGTGGCCGTGTAGGAGGATTCTGGGCTGGGTCAGAAGCCTGGGGTGCGAGAGCTGGCTCTCCCATCAGCTCCCACTGTGACCTGGAATAAAGCACTGCCTCTCTCCAGGCCTCAGTTTTCCATCTGTCCAGTGGGACCAGTGAAACCTGCCCAGCCTGAGTCTCAGATGGCCTGGGACGGCAGGTCTGAAAGCTGGGTGGGAACTTTCAGCCTGGATCAGTGGGATGACCCAGAGGGCAGGCTCTGCGTGGAAAGCTCATCAGTGGTTAAGAGAGGGTTGCCCATAGTCACTCTCAAAATTCTCAGCCAAAGCTGGACAAGACGAAGGAATGTTTGCGGGATGGCAAACTCTCCTGGCCCCCATTTTCTGTCACACCCTCTTAATTGCAGGGTGGGCCGCTGCCATCTTCCCTCCTCCCTCACCAGCGTTTTGTTCAAACCCCTAATTTGTCAGTCAAGGAAGCAACAAAGCATTAGCGATGTGTGGAATGTGCCAGGCTAAAACGTGGCTTTCCTTCAGCCTGGGGCCTTGGTGGGAAGGGGCGTGGAGTAATTCCCCTGCCTGTGGACCTGGAGAGGAGGGCAGTGCCTTTCCCTTCTCACCCTTTCATTTCTGCACGGAGCTCAGGCTTCAGAATGAAGGCAGGCAGCCCGCGCGCAGTGGGCTAATGCTGTCCTCTGATAGTTGCCATTAATAAAACATTGCATTAAATCGGAGGGGATAATTGGAGCCATTTATCATGTCTGCAGCTAGAGAAAGGTTGGTTCATGGGCACAGAGGCTGGTGACCAGGCACTGAGGGGTGAGTTGAGAATTTGTGAGACTGGGGGAGCCTGGGGTGATGGTCCCCTGGGAAGAGGCCGGGTGATCTAGGTTTGAAGCCTCTGTCCCTCCCTGGGGTTTTAAGGACCCTCCCTTTGGCCTAAAGGGAGTCTCTGAGGCCAGGCTCTGTTGCCAGACAGGAGAGGTTGGAATACTGGCCCCACCACTTAGTACCTGGGTAGGTTCTCTAACCTTTCTGAGGCTCAGTTTCCTCATCGGTAAAACAGAGATAATGCAAACACTTACATCCATCCAGGGCCTTGCAAAGATTACCTGAGCTAACGCATTTGAAGTGCTTAGCAGTTACTTGGCACACAGGAAGGGCTCAGGAGAATTAGTTGTTATCTTTGTTAGTTTGGCTGGCTGAGGGGAGCATGGGGCATAAGATCTGTGCCACCCACTTCCAGGGTGAAGGGTCACAATTACAAAGTGGGGAAAGCACGCGTTTCATTCTCAAGCCGACCACTGGGCACTTTCAACCCTCACCACTCAGCTACTTCCTCACCATGAGACCATGGACAGGTCACACAACCCAGGTGACCCTATTTCCTACTTGCAAGATGGGCATGTCCCCAGCCACTTCACAGAGCTACTATTTAAGGGGCAAGTGTGAGAACGGGTGTATAGCTTCTAGCACAGCGCTTGTCACATGGTGGGACTCAATATGTAATAAGGCTCCTCCTGTCTCTTTTAGAAGAAAACTGCCTCCGATGTTAAGCAAAACATGGACTCTGTCAAGGTATGAACAGAGCGGAAAGATCAGTTGGACTCAAGTGGTGAATGTGGCTCAGGTTCAGCTGGATCTAGGGGCTCAAATGATACCACCCATAGTAGATTGCATTCCTGGCCCCAAATCTTAACCCCTCTTTGTGTCCACTCCCTTGGTAATGGGACTCTACAGTTCCTTCCACTTAAGGGACAGAGGGGATTTCAGTTCCTTTGGACTCTGGGCTGGGCTATGTGACTTACTTTGGCCAATGGAATGGGGCAGAAGTGACAGTTCTGAGTCTAGTCTTGAAGAAATTGAATATTTCTCCTAACTCTCTTGCTCCTTTGCCATTCTGATGAGAAGAACGAGCTAGACTGCTGGCCCAAGGAGGATGAGAGCCACGTAAAGCTGAGCCACCCAGCCACCACTGCCTGCAACGGACTGGCCCTGCTGAGCCCGCCCCAGATCAGCCACACAGCGGCCTGCTTGCACCCACTTAATCGCCTAAAGAATTCCACAGGGTAGGTACAATCACCCCATTTTGTAATTAAAGAGCTGAAGTTTAGAGATGAAATGTCTTGCCGACCCTAGAACCTGCATTTCGGACCACAGACCCAGAAAACTACCCGGAGATCATGTCCTCAACAGATGCGAGACAGCCTCCTCCAGACCTTTCTTACTCTGTTGACTGTCCTTACGGAAAGTGGCAGCCGGCACACAGCAGCTGCTTGATAAATGTCTCCTGAGTGGACAGATATCTTGTCCGGTCGCCTGTAACCCATGTAGGTGGGGAACGACCAAGCTTCACTTCAGTGTCAGGCACATCGGAGGTCACGGTATAATGGGAGGAAGATCTCAGGGTGGGCAGTGGCTGTAGAATCAGTGGTCCCTCACTCTTTCTCCTCTGAATCTCATCTTTCCCTTGGTGACTTTGACCCATCCCTGCACTGTTGGTAATGCAATGACAAATATAGGCCCTGTCACTCTCCCCTCCACCCTCCAGGCCCCAGGCACTCTGGCCATCTCACGCTTCCTTCAGGAAGCCAAGCTTCTCTCCTCTTCCAGGCCTTTTGCCCGTGCTGTGCCCTCTGCCTGGGAGTCCTTCACGCCCCCCAGATCTTCACAGGACCAACTCCTCCTTGTTTTTAGCATCTCAGCTCCAATGCTGCCTTCTCTTAGCACCCCTTCCTGATCATGACGCCCAAATCACTCACCCTCTCCCATCACCCCCATCACTTTATTGCCTCCATAACACGATTACAGCCAGATGTCATCTTGTTTATTTATCAATACTTGTTTACCCATCTTCCCACTGTTCTATTCCCCACCATCTAGGACAGCGCTGGGCTCTCAGTTTTAGGTGCTCAATACATAACAGTTGAAAGAAGAAGTGGATGAAGGCTGCTTTAAGGTGAGGGCAGCAGGAAGTGGGATGGGGCAGGACAAGGTCTTCTTTTGGGGAGCTCCATTCCTTAACGGCGTCTTGGCGATTGATTGTCAAGGCTGTTCCCCTTTGGGGCGCTCAGCAAAGAAGCAAATGAGCTGGAGTGGACACAGCCCATAGGAAACGTGGCTGGGACCAGGGAGCCTCGCCTAGTCCTCCCATACCAGGGAGACCCCTGCAGAAGCTGTTCATTTTGCAGGAAGCTTCTTTTCGAGGCTTTCCTAATCCCGGCCGGCCTCCGGGGGCTCCTCCTTGGCTCCTGGGCTGAGCAGGGCCAGGCTGGGCCGGGCAGGCTGATTTCTACTTTATTATGTTTTGATGACTCCCCCCTCCTCAGAATGATTAGGCTTTAATAAATAACATTTCTCTCTGAAATTGTGCCATCATTAATTCTGCTTAGGTCTCCTTGGAGAAAATTTTGTGGAAACATTCTCAGTGTTGCTATTTAAAGCTAAATTACTTCAGCTGATTATTTCTGTCCAGGTACATTTGTGCCCAGGTGGCTGGGGCCAGCACTGAGTGGAAGCTAGGTTGGTTCTTGGGCCCCTCCCCTGAGGCCTTGACCAGAGTCCCTGCTGGCCCCTTGCTCTGTAGAGCTCAAGCTTAAGTCCTCCCTGGCAGGGGTGGAAGGAGTGAAGGGGGCCTGGACCCTGAATTGGGGGAGGGGGTGTGAGTCCTCCCAGCCTCCCCTAAAGCAAGGGTGATATTGGGAGGACCCTTCCGCTGTTCTTCCCCCCACTCCCCTCACCAAGGCAGGTACAGTGCAGCATCCTTAGGGAAGCCACCGGGGTGATGCTGGGCTTTGTGGGGGAACATGTACCAGGCCGGGGTCCTACGAAACAGATGAATTCAGTGTAACCCACTAGGTTTCTATGTACCAATTCTGGGATCTATTTTAAAAATCAGAATTCTGAACCTCCCGGGAGGGCTTTGTGCAGCCAAAGTGGGTTCTATGGCACAATGAGGTTGGTAAGCAGGGGTCAGGCCGACAGCAGGGTCCTGAGCCCCAGAGCAGGTGTCTGAGTCAACTATGCTGGTGTAACGATGCTGAGTTCTCTCTAATGGGGCAGGGCTGTGCAGAGCACAGCAGGTTTCTCCGTAACAAAGCAGGATTCTGTGAATTCAGATTTCTGCAAAATCGCCAAGGGTGTAGCACAACCAAGAATGGTTCTGAAGAAAAAGGCAGGATTCTGTGTAGCCGGGTGAGTTTCTGTATAACCAACTGCGGTGATTTAGAATAAAGGTGGTCCCTGTATATCAATATTGAAATCTATTTTTTTTAAACATCTTTATTTGGAGTATAATTGCTTTACAATGCTGTGTTAGTTCCTGCTTTATAACAAATTGAATCAGCTATATGTATACATATATCCCCATATCTCCTCCCTCTTGCATCTCCCTCCCACCCTCCCTATCCCACCCCTCTAGGTGGTCACAAAGCACTGAGCTGATCTCCCTGTGCTATGTGGCTGCTTCCCACTAGCTATCTATTTTACATTTGGTAGTGTATATATGTCCATGCCACTCTCTCACTTCGTCCCAGCTTACCCTTTCCCCTCCCCGTGTCCTCAAGTCCATTCTCAATGTCTGCATCTTTATTCCTGTCCTACCCCTAAGTTCTTCATAACCAATTTTTTTTTTTGGATTCCATATATATGTGTTAGCATACGGTATTTGTTTTTCTCTTTCTGACTTACTTCACTCTGTATGACACACTCTAGGTCCATCCACCTTACTACAAATAACTCAATTTCATTCCTTTTTATGGCTGAGTAATATTCCATTGTATATATGTGCCACATCTTCTTTATCCATTCATCTGTCAATGGACACTTAGGTTGCTTCCATGTCCTGGCTATTGTAAATAGTGCTGCAGTGAACATTGTGGTACATGACTCTTTTTGAACTATGGTTTTCTCAGGGTATATGCCCAGTAGTGGGATTGCTGGGTTGTATAGTAGTTCTATTTTTAGTTTTTTAAGGAACCTGTTTTTTAAAAAGCTGAGAGCCGAGTTCTGTGAAGCTGCGTGGAGTTCTGTAGCATCAAGTGGAATTCTGTGTGTGAGGGCAGGCGTCTGGGTCCACGAAGAGGTCTCTGTGGCAAGTGTGCGGTTATGTGTTTGGGGGTCAGAAAGCAGATTTCCATTTGGCAAAGAGGGGCTCTGTGTAAAGGCTGAATAGGGTTCTTCTAACAGATCGCAATCCTAAATGAGAAAGCAGCCCTTCCTGTGATCTCTGTGCAGCAGGCAGGGTCCTGGGTGACAGAGTGAGGCACAGCATGCCTCGGGTGACCCAGCCCAGGTCACGTGCCTGCAGCCTAGCTGCAAGGAAGACTGGCAATGTGAATATTTGACATTTTTAGTGTCCAGGGTGGGAAGCTGCTCTTGCCAGAAAAGTAGGGGACTCCTCAAACACAGGAAGGGGGTTATAATGTTGGACAGCCAAAAGGAATGACATATTTCCATTGCTCCTGCCTTCAATCACACCAAAGTCCCCCCTAACACAGGGCCTTTGCTTATGCTGTTTTTCTACCCCATTCCCCACCTACCATTGACCAGTAAGCCCTCCACAGAGTCCAGGTCTCCATTTAAACACCATCATCTCCTGGAGGTTTGCCCTGCCCCTCCTCACACAGCCTCTCTATAGGCTCAGACAGCACCTGACTCTTCCTTCTTTGTACTTTATCACATTGTGTTTCAGTGTTTGTCCGTCTCCTCTCCAAAGGTTTTGGTCACCCCTGTGCCTAGACCTGGGCTTCAGTTCCTTAGAGAGATGGCCCCTAAGTCTCCACCTCCAGCCCCCAAAACTCCCCTGCATCCTGGAGGTCGTGCACGCCCCTCAACTCCATGGGTCCCAGACTGGGCTCATCACCTCCCCTCCCCTCCCAGGTGGCCTCATCTCCCCATCACGCCCTGTAACCAGCTCTGTCATCATTCTTCTCATCTTCCAAACAAGACTTCTTGGAGTCATCACACACTCCTCCATCTTCATCACCCTCCTCACTAACGCAGTCTCTTCATACTTAATGTCCCAATGGTCCATTCTTACCTCCACCCTCAGGTTTTACTGGAGCAGCTTGCATGTGCACATCACTTTACTCTATGCAAAAACCTTTCTCCTTGTGTTTTTTTCACTCCTCACAATCAAGCTGCAGTGGTAGCTGTGGAGACTCAGGAAAAACAGTCTTATTTCAACTGAGATACAGCTTCAGTTGCTGTACCACAAGTCTAAGACAACAGTGGCTTGAACAAGATCAAATTTTCTTTTTCTTTCTTTTTCTTTCTTTCTTTCTTTCTTTCTTTCTTTCTTTCTTTCTTTCTTTCTTTCCTTCTTTCTTTCTTTCTTTCTCTCTCTCTCTCTCTCTCTCTCTCCCTCCCTCCCTCCCTCCCTCTCCCCCCCCCTTTCTTTCCTTCCTCATGTTTATAGGCTGGTCTCTTGGTGTTGGGGATCCCTTCTATCTGACTGCTCCACCTTCCTCAGGGTGCTGCCCTACTTGACACGGGCAAGATGACTTACCAGCATGTCCACTGGGTCTGCCTTCCAGCCAGTTAGAAAGGAGGAGGGGAACTAGAGGCCTCCAGCCACCTTTCCTAAGAGCACAGCCCGAGGTGCACAAGCCCCTTCTCACAAGCAGCGTGGATTGAGCTGCAAGGGAGGACTGGGAAATGTAGTTCATCCTGGAGGGCTGTGCGCCCAGCTAAAACCTGGAGCATCATCCATCACTTAGGGAAGAGGGAGAGACAACCAGCCATCTCCACTGCACAGATTTAAGGGACTAAAATAACAGACGCTAAAACCAGGCATTTATTGAGCAGGCACGTGCTCTCATTTGTACCTTTTGGCAACACTGCCAGCAGCTGCGATCATCTCCTCTTCACTGAGGAGGAAACTGGGGTGAGGAGGGGTCATTGAATGACTCACTCAAGATCGCAAAGCTCAAAAGTGACAAGATGGGGTCCACAGTGATGGCCCCTGAGGTCAGAGCCCAGGACTTTCCCATCACATCCCACAGAAGGGATATTCCAAGAAAGGAAGGGCATTGTCAGTTTTCCTCACGGCTTTATTCCCAGCACTTAT